TCACACCCAATGGATTATGCGCCTCAAATGCCGAGTCTTGCTCTGATTGAGCGGCTCGGAGGAAGAGTACGCAAAGTGTCCACAAAGTTTGACGTAGACATCCTCCGGGCTGGTATGTCTCATCCACTGTTGGTGGGCCGGCATTCCCACGAAGAAGCCAGGGACGCACGAGAGATCATCCTCTGGCCTCGTATTTCTGATCTCCAAGAGCCCTACCATGCTAGCAAGGCTGGGCGCTGGACCAGAGCCGTGGAGCATGACATAACGGCATGACCTTGGTAGATAGCTACTGACCTACATGCTGTGAAGCCACCCCCTTACAGAAGGCCTAATCAGTCGCATACTGGAGTAAGCACACCAGCTCGTATTGAATCAGGGCCACAGGGGACATATGGGGCTAGCATGGGCGTATCAAAAATAGCTGTTCCCTGTTCCAGTGTCTTCCACCTCGCACGGGGCCATCCGATGCCCAATCAGCCGGCGCTATTGGTGATGCGGTGGGGGTCTGGTGGGGACCGTTGGCTTGTAACGGCGGTTCAGCGTTCCCCGTTTGAATTTTTTTGGCCAATTCTCAGCAAGTGCCACAGCGCTCTATCACCTGAACGGAGCGCTATTGTCTTTCTATCTACGGTACTTGGCAAAGACAAAGAGATACAAAGAATCCCGGCAGCGCCAGTCCAGCCGCCGATGTTCTTCGAGGTACCACGTCATCCCGGATAGTTTGCATTCATCCCATCAATTCTGATCCCTTGACCCCGGCTCCTTCTTAACCATCCCCATCCCCTTCAACCCTTCCATAGGCCGCCTCAATCTTTACGACCTGGACCTATCGGTGCTGTATTCTTTCCCTAGCATCTTTTTCCTTTTTCTTTTCTCCATCCGACCTGGTCTTATCTCCTTGTCCTCTTCCTCCGGCGCTCCTTAGCCTCCCTCTCTTACACGAGATCAACGGCATCGCATCGCTACACCAGGCTTCATTCCACGGCTCGAGTGGGTTGTTAAGGCAGGGGAAACACCGAATCGATTGCCATCATACTCCTGCGCTGGGCCTCCCGTTACACCCCACAAACGGCGCCCTCTGTCACTCGTTTACCTCCGACTATCTCGACATACCTGCCATCACAAGCACCTCTCCGATCTTGTATATATCAGCGTCCTAGATATTTACCTTGCCGAGGAGAGACACACCCGAATCTGCTTCTTGCGGCCTCGGCCGATCATACATTGCAATGGACGATCCCACTTATGCTATGGGACTGGGAGCCCGTGTGAACGGCGATATTGACGACTTTGTGAATCTACTAAAGAATCCCTTTCGTCAGCAAGTACGTTGAAGGCCCTCTCGCTGTTCTTGTTCCGTATACCCTTTGATATTGACTGTTCTTTCCTTGCTAGGCAAAATCTGCCTCGATTTGGGCTGCTTTGGCCGTATCGGTTAGCTTCACACTCTTAACTACGATCTTCTTTTCAGTCCTTCGGCCTCATCACCAGTCCCTATATGCTCCGAGATTAAAACACGCCGACGAGAAACATGCGCCTCCTCCGATCGGCAAACAGCCATGGGCATGGGTCACACCGTTGTGGAAGACTAGCGAAGCGAATCTTGTCGGCCAGATTGGAATGGACGCGACCATCTTCTTGCGATTCGTCCGCATGTGCCGCAACATCTTTCTGTCCTTGATGATCATCGGCATTTGCATCCTAGCCCCAATTCATTGGACTCAATCGGAAGCTGCAAAAACGACTGAAGAAGACGGAGATAGTTGGCCCCTCAAGTTAACACCTCTGAAAACCAAAGGCCGTTTCATTTGGTCGCAGGTAGTGGTCGCGTACCTTTTCAACTTGACGATCGCCTTTTTCCTCTGGTATAACTACAAGAAGGTTGTGGCGCTACGAAGAGCCTATTTTGAGAGCGACGAGTACCAAAACAGCCTTCACGCCCGTACCCTCATGGTGAGTACATAAATGAATGTCATCCACGCAACCCAATTTTAGCTAACATGTAGCTTCCCCCCTTCAGCTATTTGATATTCCAAAGCAAGGCACCTCTGATGAGGGAATTGCGCGAATCATTGACCAAGTCGCTCCTAACTCATCTTTCGCCAGAACTGTGGTTGCGCGAAACGTCAAGGATCTCCCAGACCTCATCTCTCAACACGAACACGCAGTTAGGAAACTGGAGAAGGTTCTTGCGAAGTACTTGAAGAATCCCAACCAACTGCCTCCTGGCCGGCCAACCTGCAACCCTTCCAAAAGGGACCGTGCTAGAGACACCTATGTGAAGGGCCAAAAACTGGATGCTATTGAATACTATACCCAGCGTATTCGTCAACTTGAGTTGCAAATTCAATCCGTAAGATCCAGCGTGGACAGACGCAGCACTCAGCCATATGGTTTCGCTAGTTACGCAGAGATCAGCGAGGCCCACAACATCGCATATCTTTGCCGCAACAAGAAGCCTCATGGCACAACTGTCAAACTGGCTCCGCGACCGAATGACCTCATTTGGAAGAACATGCCCTTGACCCCGGCCGCGAGAAGTCGAAGCAAGTGGTTCAATGGTTTCTGGATCACCTTGTTGACGATCTTTTGGATTGTTCCCAACGCCTTGATTGCCATTTTCCTCGTGGATTTGAGTAATCTGGCTACGTTTTGGAAAGGTTTTGGAGAATCCTACAACGGCAACCCCAAGGTTTGGGGTGTTGTTCAGGGTATCCTCTCCCCTGCTATCATGTCTCTAGTCTATCTCGTTTTGCCCATGATCTTCCGTCGGCTTCAAATCAGGGCTGGTGACAAAACTAAAACGGGACGTGACAGGCACGTTTTGGGCAAGCTGTTCGCCTTCTTTGTGTTCAACAATCTCATCGTCTTCACGGTCTTCAGCGTTATCTGGTCATTCGTGGATGGTGTCATCACGCTCGTGAAGAACAACAATTTAGACACATGGACAGCTATCGTGCAAGCTGACCTCGCCATGAGTATTCTTACCTCGCTCTGCACAAACAGTGCTTTTTGGGTGACCTACCTGCTGCAACGACAACTTGGTGCTGCCATCGATCTAGCTCAATTGTGGCCTCTTGCGGAGGCTTTCTTCCTGAAGAAGTTTTCGAGCCCGACACCCCGAGAATTGATCGAGCTGACCGCGCCACCACCTTTCGATTACTCAAGCTACTACAACTATTTCCTGTTTTACGCTGCAGTAACTCTCTGTTATAGTGGTATCCAGCCGCTTGTGATTCCCGCGACAGCCTTGTACTTCTCGATTGACTATTGGCTGAAGAAGTATTTACTGCTCTACCGCTTTGTTACAAAGACGGAATCTGGCGGCCTTTTCTGGCGTGTCCTCTTCAACAGATTCATCTTTAGCGCTATCCTGGCCAACCTCGTCGTTCTATTGACTACTTGGTGCCAAAGTGGCGGTGAATGGATGAATCGCATTCCCTTCTGGACATCGATTCCCCTTCCGCTTTTCATGATAGGTTTCAAAATCTACTGTGCGAAAACTTTTGATCTCAAGCTCCAGTTTTACAGCACTACCATCATTAACAGACATCCGGAAAGTGGGACGCAGAAAGAGGATCGTCAGCGTGGTGAAAGACTGGCAAGCCGTTTTGGCCACCCGGCTCTCTACAAGAAACTTATCACGCCTATGGTTCATCAGAAGGCGCAAAATCTTCTGCCTGCTGTCTACACCGGTCGGCTAACGGACGGCCGAGATGGAGGAGCGGACGACCTGGCAACTATCAGCGGCTATTCGGATATGTTTGCATTAAGTAATATGCAGGGTGGAAAGCCCGGTAAAGCTGCTGGGGGTATTCCAGGTTTCGAGTATGTGTCCGAAAACCACATGGACTTTGAGTTTTTTAAGAACCGAGCAGAGTTTGGTGAAGATCACGGCGGAGGTGAGATCTATGGCCGACAAGGGGATATCATGCGCCCCGGCACACCCGGCTCCATGGGCGAGGGCAGTGACGCAGGATCGAGATCACAGAGTCCGAGTGCTGGGCCACGGACGACTCGTCGTTCTGTAGGAAATCCCCTGGATACCAGTTATCAAGCATACCGGCCTGACCAAGGCGATGTTGGTATTGGACGGAACCATAGCCCTCTCTATACGCAGGACAATGGTAGTCTGACTGGGCTGGTTAGCAACGCAGCAGCTCCGCCAACCGGAGGTTTTGACACATACTCTTACCGCCATGGGTCAATGGACAGGAGTACCCCTACACCTTCAGTTACACCGGGCGGCCGGGTAATGCCTTCGCGCACACAAAGCCCTGGGCCTTCAGTTGGTGCGTTGGGAGGCGGGCCTCATGGTTACAGTGGTCTTGCACAGACGGAGTTCTCAGACCATGACAATGGCGACGCGCCTCAGTACGACTATTTCCGTGGCGGCAAGGGGAGGAAACCTCCGGGGCAGGGCTGGTAAATGTAGCCAGTAAAGCAGCGTGATGATTATTTGTCGATAGATGTCGTTAATGATGGGTCGGTCTACATTCGTGAGACACCATATTTTTCACTACCTTAGATGTCGGGTTTATTTCTTTTTCTTAGCAAGCGGGGCATGGCGTTAACAATAGACCTGGAGACACGTTCTTCCTCCAGCGGCTTGAATATATAGGTCTCGGATGTGTTATCTATCCTTTGCACATATACGGGTACACCCCTTTACATCTTGCCTTCGGTCTTGAATACCTAGTAAAATGGCACCCAAGTGGGTAAAATAAAACGTGGTACACCAAAGCTCTTTCCGCAAGGCAGGGACCTCGTTTCTAACTGAACACAATAATAAGAGAATAATAAACTATTCTACAGTTTTTAGCTTGATGTTATGTTCCGTACTAGGTTATTTACTATGATATTGTATTAAAATTCAATATTGAACTACCTAGACGTGCCATGTTTTATTCCACCCACTTGGCACCGTAGCGAACTTCGTGTCAAAGAAGTGCCAGTGCTATATGCATTATGGTTTGTTAGTAAAACCTCACCGACGTACAGATCCCGTTCACTAAACGCGTCAAATCTTGTGCTAACCCCATTACCAAGGGCTCGTCTACGATATCTTGCTGCCAAGAGAGAGTAACAGTGAGGCCATGCTTCTCTATGCTGATGACACTGAGCGCTATTCCAGCACCAGCGACCATGGCGCCAATCGAGAACATCCCACGGGTTGGCTCCCAGCCACCGTCTGAGTCCGCGCAACGAAGAACACCAATATTGGACACTTCCCAGGTAGCCGCTCTCGGTTTTCCATTTAAGCCGCGAAAATACTCACTGAAATCCGGAATTAAGTACAAAAGCCCTGCTACATCGTCAGAGGGGAGAGTGGAAACTCGTTGATCCAAAAGTCTCTTGGTCTCCTTGGCCGCTTGCCAGATCACCTCGTCTCGGTCGGCATGAGGCGAGCGGAGGGCGCCGACCACACTCGCGGGGAACGGGGTGTCGAGACCGGTGACGAGGGAGCGCATCTTGGTCTTGAGCTCTTCCTTGACCGTGTGAGAGATCCACGGGCGGAGGTTGATGGGCGTCATGGAGACGAAGCTCTCTGCATCCTCGGGGCCGAGGCGAGTGGCAAGCGAGACCAACGCCAGGGCGTGGAGGAGGGCTGTGAGGGAGGAGGAGTGGTCTCGGGATGCCTTGATGAGTGTTTGAAGGGATTCGGGGGAGAAATGGAGAGGGTGGACCCGCGTTATGTATGGAAGGGCAAAATCAATGGGACGGCCAGTCCATGGGGTAGGGGACTTGAGTTTGAGCAGAGAAGGGGCCAGATGGTTCCAAGTCGCCTTGAGCATGAACGGCCAGCTACTTGTGAATGGGATAGCCTCCTCTTGGGTCTCGGGTAGTTCAGCGATGTCGGGAAAAGACAGTATGTATCGAGGCTCGGGCGGGATATCACCGTGATGCTGGGCATTCAGGGCGGCTGCAAGATGTTGGTGAAAGTCCTTCCCGCCAGTCCCATCAGTCAAGGAGTGATGGTAGGCAAATAGAATATCAACCACGGGCTTTTCGAAGAGTCCATTGCTTTCTGGTTGTAGGGCAAGGACCTTCCAAGGAGCCTTGGACTCAATATTCGGCCATAATTGATCGTGTAGCCAGCCGTGGGTTTCCGAAAGCTTGGCTTCGTACTCCTCCACGGTCGTGTGATTCTGGGAACGAAGCTCAAAATGGTCGCGGAGGTCAATCTCTGGCAGGTGGATGAAAGCGGGCTGGTTGGTTTCCTGCCCGATGATCCCGACCTGCAGCATAGGCTGTCCCCCAACCACCGAGGCCAAGGCTGCGACGAGGGCCGCCCTGATGTCTTCTAGGCCATGCGGGATCAGGTATCGCACCGTCACAACCACACAGCGATACACTCCTAGGTGATGACGGGCTGATGAAAATTGCTCCCTGTCAGGCAGGAATTTGAGATTAGATCCCCGCTTGCTTGCCAGCTTGGAGAATAAACACTTTGTGTTGGTCTACTTACCAAGGGCCTAGAGGCCGTACGATCCTGGCTTTTGATTCTTCCATGGTTGATCGGCTCTAAATTGATCGGGCCCGACCACGCTTTCAGGTTGAAAAACTGCAGCAACCAGGTGGCTACATCACTCTGCACTCTCCTCCCTCCTGCACATTGTAATCCGCGTGATGAGAAGCATTGCTTGGTCAGCTCAGCTGGGCACAGGATACAGATGCCCAACCTCCTCGTCGGCGAGCCAAGCACAGACAAGTGCCCTTGGCAAGGTAACGGTTGGGGAAACGGTACTGTAACGGTACCCCAACGGCCGAGCTGGGCAGGAGAACGGCTAATGTGCGGCCAGACCTCACCGCCTGAACAGCTCTGCCAACACTCCGCGCTAGCAGGGAAGATACTTCGCGGTCCGTGTGGGTCCACAGTGTGGCTGGAAGCGCTGCAGGGCTTGTAGGTACCCGACAAGCGCCATGTACCTGGTGGTCAGAGCTCCCAAGTACCTCGAACCCGAGCTAGTGCCTGGGGGGGAGCGGACAAACCAAACAACATTTTGTTCCTTCCCTTCCACATGGGGCATCAAAATACTGGATCGCCTCGCCTCGACCTCCAGCACCACACACGCGACGAGCACCAGCCCCCGCCACCTCCAAATTTTGCAATTCCTGGTGCTTTGCGCTGTCAAGTGGGCAAGGCGCGCAACTCCCTGTCCACCTGCGACTTTGCCAGCCCACCTCCCAGCTGCCAGTGAGCCACCTCCTTTGACACCTCCAGCTTTGCGCAGATGCTATGACGCGACAACCCCCTCGAACTCTGCCTGCAAGAAAAATGATGCGAGACATCTTCGCCTGATAGATCATCGACCCCTCCGTCTACCACCTGCAGCTAGCTCAGTCCGGTGTGGTGGCCATGGATCAAGGCGCCAACTCTCGTTCCTCACCGCATCCCGGCGGTCGGCCAACAAGCAAGCTGGTGGTCAAGGAAGAGGGCAGAAGGCCTCTCTTTTCCAGCGCCAATGTCTCTCAGGCTGAGAGCATAGTGAAGAACATCGAGAAGAAGCCGACCCAGCCCAAGGACGGTGCTCGCGCAAGCACCACTCCACGCTCCGTCCAACGCACCAATTCTGAAAACCTCATCTCTCGTGCTGGCAACAGTTTGCCTTCTCCCAGCGGTACACGTATTCCCCGCTCTGGAAGCGTCGGAGGCTCTGGTGGATTATCCAACCGCCGGCCGATTTCACTCTCCGAAGCCTATAGGTTGGCCGAAGAAGAGGAAGTAAACACTGGGAAGCCGGGCAATGATAACATGCGAGCACAGCCCATTGACGGGTCACCCAGCCCGGCACCCAGACCATGGCGGGCATCGCGAGATTTCGACAATGCCAGGCTGAGATCACTACTTGAGCACGACCATCTGGACACCAAGGGCGCCAACAGACAAGTAAAGACAAACGAGCAGGCAAAGCAGAACAAAGTGCCTGCCGCCAACCCTCCCAAGGGTCCCAACTCAGCGAATACCGAAACAAACGGTGGTGGGATCTCTCTCCCCGATCTAGTTCCTGGTATCGAAGATATTCCTTTACCCTCGGTCGAACGTGCCGGAAATGTGCCCACTCCCGCATCTCCAGAGAAGAGTTTCGCTTGGCAAGTCGATGAAGATTTTACAGCAGGCGATCTCCAGGTCTCAGACAGTCCCAGACTTAAGACGGACAGGCGACCTTTTGAGAACCGGCTACCGTTTGACGAGAATAGCTTGGTCGACATCAATTCCCGGACAAGGGTCAACAACCCAGGGTCCAAGAACACCAGGCTTGACGAGATCCGATCTCGAGAAGTCAAGACGGGGAACCACCTCCCCATAGGCCCACGTTCAACCAAGTCACCCAACACTAAGCTTGATGAAATCATCGCACGGGAAGCCGAGGTCGAGTCTCAGATACCAATCCCAGATAGGCGCCTCTCTTCGGCAAGCAAAAATACCAAGTTGGATGAGATTCGACAGAGAGAGCTAGATGGCTTGTCAAAGAGACGGCTAGCGGCTGCCCGCTTGGAGGAGATTAGGGAGAAAAACTCCATGTCGCGACAGAAATCATCGGAGGAGACGCGGTCACAATCAGACCAGCAAAGTGACGGCGGTCCATCAAGCAATGACGGGTCCGAGGCCAAGCCCGACACCTCGGAGAAGAGACGAGCCCGGGCAACAAAAGATTCTCCGCCCAAAGATACCTATGGTGGTGGGGAACGAATTCCTGACACACCAGTGACTGTATACAAGTCCCGGCCTGAACGAGCGGGAGATCAAGCTCAGAACAAAGGAGACAAACCAAATCAGCAAAACGATACGAAGAAGGCTACTAAGACCACGCCTTTAACCCGACGTCGAACTGATTCAAGAGACTTGCTGAGCAGACTAGCAAGGGCTACAAGTTCTAGTCCACTCCTTAACACGGAAACGAAGAAGGCGCCCTCGCATCGGGGAAGTGATAAACTCTCTACGTCGACAGGGTCGCTTAGTACTGGTCGGAGTTCTAGAACCCTCCTAAGTGCTATTACCGGGCGTAAGAAGAAGGCTGGCACTGATGGGGAGTCCAAGCCCTCGGGGAGACCTACGGTAGAGTTCGCAGGCCTGCGGCGTGTGCGTTCGACTGAGTCGTCTGGAAGTAAGAGATTCAGTACGCATTCAGAAACAGATCCTACAGATCGCATTGAAGGAGAGATGAAATTGTTCGCACCTCACGATACTCATTCTGAGAGAGGGTCAGTACGGGCTCCATCTCCGACCTCCTCAGATGGCCACATCCTTAAGAAAGAAGTGGTCGGGGATGGAGAGATGACACCTCAGAAAAACAACGTCGATCCCTTGACGATGCCAACACCAAGAGTGACGGGTGCATATGTTGAGACTCCTGCAACAGTCAAGGTAGAAAAAATTCGAGATCCAGTCCCGCCTCAGGAGGTAGCTCTGCCTCAAGCTGATGGCGAGCAAGCAAAAGAAGCTGGAAGAATAAGGCGTGCATCGGGTACCCACACTGCAGGCATTAGGAGGCGAGCCTATGACACGTGTTCGGACCCTGGGGTCGGTGAGAAGGAAGCAAGAACCAGAGCACGCTCGGCGTCTATGCCACAGAAACGGGCACGTTCACATTCGCGGCTCAGGGCGCCATTAAAGAACTCTGCCCAGCCACCAACAGTGCACGACGATATCTTGGAATTGCTGCGTACAAACAAATTTGATGACTCGACCCTTGATGAGCTGGAAGCTATCCTCGACAATCGCCCTTTGCCTCCCGGGCGAATGAGCTTCGGAAACGATCTGCCTCCGCCTACAGACTCGCAAGATGATGATTCATTTGACCTCAAAATGGAAGCCTATCTCGCGGAGACTGAACTGAAAGGTCCTACAGAAGACTTGAAGAACGAGAATGTAGATGAGGATGTAGATGAAGAAGAACTGGCGGCATATGACCGCATGAGCAAGTCGCTCCAAACAGGGCTTCAAGGCATCCGCACTGCCAAGAAGGGGATTGAGCGACTCGAGGACAGTCTGAGGGATGGCGAACGTTTCTATGCCGAGTCTCAAGCAAAGCTCGCAGTGGTGGGAGAGACTGAGAAGCACCACTCCAAACACCAAGAACCAGACCGCCCCCAAGAACAGGACCGCCATCAAGAACAGGATCCCAAGCAAGAAGTATATGACAAACATGTTGATTTATCGAGCGTTGGCTACGTTCAGCTCCCTATTCCACGCCTATACACTATCAAGCCTCGTTTCCAGCTAACAATACTGGGTCTCTTCGCCATGCTGTTGTCACTCTGGTACGTTGCCGAAGCTGGTATGTGCGCCAAGTACTGTATTCCAGACTCCTGTTCAACGACACCCTGTGTCTGGTCCTATGACGATCCAACGTTTGGCAAGGCTCTGCCAATCAAGCTAGATCAATGGACCACTGGCGGCGTCGGGCGTGTGGCTTTCGGTAATGCACGGCAAACGGTTGAGGACTGGTTGGCCGACATGACCGACAGCTTTTACGGGCGAAATATCAAGGACATCGACATCAGCAAGCTATCTTTTGAAGGGAGGCGTGCCCACCGCCGTCGTCTGAGGAACAAGGGGCTGCTGAGTGATGAGGCCAAGCAAGTGGAAAAAGCTGCAACACCGGAAATGCGCGAAAGATGGGCCGCATGGAGGCGTGAGCGGATCAACAGGGAGAACGCACGAGAAGCCAGGTCTATGGGCTACGATCAAGATGAGGATGATTCAATGGGAGGGGATCAGAGAATTGGCTAGTCGACAACCAATGATCCCCATTGATACCAGGGCACAAATGTCCGTAATGCCACTAATGACCACTGACTTGTCCACGAAACATCTACTTATGACCGGCGTTGGAGCAAATTTTGGGATCGCGCATCTATTTCGTGTATATATTCAAAGAAAAAAAAAAGATAGTTGTACGTGAAACCATGCTATGGGTATGGTATTCTATATATATTGAGATTTTGCCTCTACCCCATCAGGAGATACTGTCCTATGCCTGCCGAGCAGCCATCAGCAATGGACCGTGAACAAATAGTCCAAACTTTCAAGGTCCTCGTGATCATAACGAATCCCACCCCAACAAACCCGTCAAATGCAAACCGGAACTTCAAAACGGAATGTGAACATGAACATAATTTTTCCAGCCCTGGATTGTCCTGCAGAATAACGCCGAGCTCCTGTACCGCCATCTTTTACTCCTCAATTCCTCCCCATTCATCGTCGTCGTCGTCATCTGCCTCCTCTGCATCGCTCATATCCTCATCCTTGGTGCCCCAAGGCAGCCTGGCATCCTGATAGCTCTCCTTCGCTCTTTCCCGGACAGCCTTGACAGGGCACGTCTGGAGCTCCAGGACCAAATCCCCAATCTTCTTCACGAGTTCCTTGGCCTCGTCGTTTTCGAGGCACTTTGTGCTCTCCAGCTCGTCAACCCACAGATCGAGGACGTGGAGCCTCAAGCCCAGAGGCACCTTCCTCAGGTCGCCCGTCTCCTCAAATGGCCAGTCCCTCAACACATCAACGACAGCGGGGTTCTTCTGCGCGCACTCCAGCATTACGGCGAAGGCACGGCGCACGAGGAGAAGGAACTTGTCCATGCGCAGGGCCTCGGTGTGCGGCCACCGCTCGGACAGGACCTCCCAGAAGCCGACGAACCAGGCGGTCTTGGCCTCCTCGCGGGGGAGGGAGTATACGAGGCGGGCCAGGTCGGCGGCGAGTCGCTGCTGGGGCGCGGGGCGGTCGGTCATCCAGAGGGCGTAGTAGAGGCCCTTCCAAAGCTTGACGGCGTCTTGGTTGTCGAGGGAGGTGCGGGAGGAGAGAAAGAGCTTGAGGGAGTCGAGAGAGGCGGTTCGGAGTTTTCGATCTAATGTCGGGGCCCGGGTGTTAGCAAGCGATAAATAAAAGGCGCATGAAAATTCGGAACAGAAAAGACAAGCTTGATTGGCAAAGTATTCGTCTTTGGGGGGACTAACCACTGGAAGCCAAGTTCCGAATGAATGGCATTTGCGCCTCGTGTGCGGCGGCCATTTTGAAAGGGTTGGGATTGCGAATTGCGGAGGAGAATATAAGGCAGATCACAGATTTACGCAATGATGTAATTGAGTACGCAGGAATGACGGTCAGGCCAAGAGCACTCAGGATGGTCGTTGAGGCTCTGGAACTGCTCGCAGTATTTTTTGAGCAGAAATATATTTGTTCTGCCGCAAAACGAAGATACAAATTGGGTGGGGTGAGGAATGCATCCAGGATAGGTAAGCGGTGTAGGTGCACCTCAGTTTCACTGTAGGCAGGAGCCACCAAAAGACATGGCAACAGCAGTACATACACGTGCTCAGCCGAGCAAGACCTGAGTCATTGGCTAATCATTGGCTCGTAGATCAACCAAGCTAGGATCGTGTGATAAGCCTGTGCCAGCTTTGCCTACTACCAACACTTCCCAAAGAGCTTGTCGCAGTGATAGAGTTTTCCAGAGCTGCACAAAGCTGACTCACTGCCGATGCTGGCCGACTAGGCAGATGATTGGAGGGCACTACGATCCTTGAGCCTAGTAGGCCGCAACAACACCCCACCATCGTCATAGCAAGAGCTCTCCTCCCACCCACTTCCACCACACCACCGTCTACACCTCTTTACCTAAGCGCCCATCTTGCCCGTCCCGCCTTGCTACTTTGCCATCAATCAAGTCCATACCCGTCTCTCTGAGAGAGACCACTATATCAGACAAAACCGCAGCGCAGTGAGAGCCGCCGCCATGTCCACCAAGCGCATTTCCAAGGTTCGTCGCCCAAGTGCACGCATGTAATCCATCCCACCACCTACCACCCGCGTGCAATCACCAGCGAACGGGCCTTGCTAACTTCGTTCCTGTCTCTGACCAAACACAGGAGTACGCCGAGCTCTCCCAGACCCCTCCAGAGGGCTACACCGTCGCCCTCCCTCCCTCCGAGTCCCTACACACCTGGCACATCACCCTCCGCCCACCGCCCGCCACCCCCTTCCACCCAGGCGTCTTCGGCATCCTCATGACCCTGCCGACCGACTACCCCTTCAAGCCCCCCGTCATCAAGTTCGTCACCCGCACGTACCACCCAAACATCACCAACGACAGCCTGGGCAACGTCTGCCTCGCCATCCTGAAGCCCGAGAACTGGAAGCCCAGCACCAAGATCGCCGCCGTCCTCGAGGCCGTGAGGAACCTCATGATCGAGCCCCAGCCCGACGATCCTCTCGAGGAGCGGGTCGCAGACGAGTACAGGAACGACCGAGCCGAGTGGGAGAAAAAGGTCAAGTACCATGTTGAGAAGTATGCCATGGAACCGCCTGTATTCCCAGCTGGGCCCTAAGCAACACTCGTGTGTTTCAAACCTACTTCATAAAAGGAGGGAGAAGAGGTGTCCTACCCAGGCGGTAGGCTAGACTTGGACCTACGAGAGAGGTCTTTGAGAGGGGGGAGTAACGTCGAGGAGATGAGAAACAAATAAGCTGGAAAGAACACAGCCTCAAGATGTTGAACATCCTTAATTCTGTCTAATTCCTGTCCATCTACCACAGCTCTCCAAGGCCAGGATTGCTTCCTCATGTCGTCTCTTGAGGGAGAGAGCTCTTAGTTACACAGTTATTATTCGTTCACATAGCATGTCCGCACTCAGGGCACTTTCATTAAGATTTCAAATGAGTCCATGATCCCAAAAACAAACATTGCACATATAAAACTTCTGTGGGGTATCTGGATTCTGAATGCTATTTTGCATGTCTGTCGTCTACCTGCTCTCTATATTTAGGTTTGTGTATAAGCTCGCTTTTTCCCGTAATACGCCTCGCCGACTGTACATCTCTACCTCCAACTTCCCCAATCACCAAACATGGCCGTGACCATCCTTCTTCGTGGGTATATACAGCCATAATCATCATCAGAGCAAAGAGAAAAAAACCATTCGGAAACCACGTGTTGCGGCCCGTCTGTCTGTCCTGAAACATGGGATATCAATCGAAGGTATGGGTGGCACTGACAAAAGAAAATGGAAGGAATGGAAAAAAAAAAGAACAATTATCGCCATGCCATAGAAAGAAAAAGAAAAAGAGCCCATAGGCTGGCCCATGGGCATATATATATGTGCAAAGAAAATGTGTGAGGAGAAAGACCGCTCGCCTTCCCATGCAACGCCAAACCATGATATAATCACATTCAGCACCAGAAACGAGACAGCGACATGCTGTGCTTGCATCGCAGCGCTTGCCAGCGGGCGTTCTACACCCTGCCAGGCCTTGTACCTGAAACATCTCTCTTTTTCCTGCCGAAGAGCGTGCCCTTGCGCCGAACTTCGGACTCCGCATCCATCGCATTTCCACCCGGTGGAAGTGTTTGACTGCGGCCGCCCTGCTTGTCCTTATCCAGCTGTGCCTGATCGCGCCGCTCCTGGCGCCGCTCATCAATGGCAACCTGGCTGAGGTGGCTGAACCCATTGCGACGTTTGAAACAAGCGTCGATGAGGCCATTTGCGTCGAGCATGCGTCGAGGCATGGCCTGCACAACTCCAAACATCTCCATTGGATCTGCAACAGCCATAATCTCTGATTCTCCTGTTTTGAAAATGGCGAGGGCAGTTCGAAATAGCGTCTTAGAACCTTCATAAAAGAAGATATCCCAAACCCGCAATGTAGTCTCAATAGGGAGGGTTCCGATGAAGCAACTCATAAACCACGCAGTCATGCAGAGGGTAATAGGCGGCAATCTTTCTGTCGAAAGAGTATCCGTCTGCTTCCTCCTGAACCTTGTCCTAGGTTTACGGAAGGAGCGGCCAGTCGACGGTCGAGTTTGCGGTTCGGCTTCCAGATCACCTCCTATCTTATCCCATACAGCGGGCATTGTATCACGGATCTCTGTCATTAACACGCCGAGGTCAACCTTGGAACCCTCCAAGCTGATTTCATGTGTGCCAGGAAGATAAATGTGAGTGATGACGTTGAGCAGCCAGAAGCACTGTTCCTCTGTCTCAACAAAGAGCAGGAGAAGACCAGCGATGAAGTTCAAGCTTTGGCAGTAGCCGATGTGAGGGTTGTAGATGGAAAAGGCGAAGAGAACACGACGTAGAGAGGCTATGATGGGCTGTTCCTTAGTTTTCGATGGCTTTCCAGTGTTGTCACCATCCGGGGCCTGGGGAGGCTTGAAATTGATGTTGTCGGGGAAGGTGCGATGCAGATCTCGTTCAATCGCTTCGACATCCACGCGTTTAGCCTTCATGTCGAGCATCTTCCCGTATAAGCCCGAGTGCTTAGCAAGAATAGCCGGGCCACCTGCGTAGTAGAACCACGCAGCTCCTCTCCACTCGGGGGGGATGCCTTTTCGAACGAACTTCTTAGTTTTAGCGTTCGTTGGAGGAAAGCGGTTGGGATTTTCAGTCATGAGGGAATGCTCCTTGAGATATGACTGCCATTTCTTCTTCCTTCGCGCAAGATACTCCGTATAGCCAGAGTTCCAACTATCGTACTGCTTCATCGTGACGTATTGGTTTTCTTTCTTGAAGCCGTATCGATCACGAGAGTTGGGGTCCTCTGGTTCGGCAGGTCCGGGAACATCAGGTGGCAGACAACTCTCGGGGTAGCTAGGATCTCGAGGGGGCGGGTCAGGACTGCTCGGCCGGCTGTCGTATACGCTTGTCGGTGCTGGAGAGGGTGATGTGTCCCTGGAGGCAAAGTTGTTTGAGATGCCCAAGCCCCTATCAGTTGGGTCGTCGCTAGTGACGGTAGGTTGCGAGGAATCTGAAGGGTCAGTGTCCAGAGACTTGCCGGAATCACGGTTCGTCTCGTTGAAGCGATTTGAGGAGTTCATGTTCGAGGCCAGATGAGGAACCGAGGCCATGAAAGCCGGGCTGCTGAAGAACATCTTCGATTGTCGAATCTCAGCGTCGAGCCTCGTTTTGGCCAGCATGGGTGAATCAGGAGGGTCATCCAGGACTCTGCTATCGCCAAGGTCAGGTTCGGGTTGAGGGAATGAGGAAGACGGCCGAGGAGGAAATTCTTCTTCTTGATCGTCACCTGGTTCACTGTGTTCGTAAATATCGTCCTCAAACCCTTGTTCGTACATGCCCATAACATCTTCCAGGCTCGGTTCGTCAGGATCAACGAAAGCATCCGCGTTGTCACCGAAGGAGGTAGCAGAGCTGTTTTTAGTAAGGACACTACTTCGTTCGGTGTTGGCCGTGCCAGGGGCAGTTGAAGCTGTCAGCTGGGATCTGAAACTCGACCGTAGTTCCTCCCCGCCAGACCATGGCACAGACCCACCCAGGATGGGCGCAGACCCAGAGCTGTCAGTGCGGCCGAAACCATACTGTGGCCGGGTTGCAGAAACTGGCGGAGGCCCAGCATTCTTTAACAAACGGGTCCCTGGAATTCGCGAGTCAGGAAACTCAGCCATCGTAGGAGACATTCCAGGTGCCCAAGTGGACGCAGACACGTTTGAACACATCGAAGGACCCCTGGGACGCCATGGGGGAGCATAGTCCATCAGCTCCGGGCCGTCTTCGGAGGGTGTAGGAAGAAGAGCTGGTCGAGATCTGGTCGGGGTGTCGGAAATGGGTTGCCGTATACTGTGTTTTCGGGGGCGGGAGAAATTTTCGAACGGCGCGGATGTCATGTCAGAACCACGCATGTCAGAGAAGGAGGATTTTGCTGTCAAAGGGCGCGAGGGAGGCTCGCTTTGGGGTTCGCGGATTAGATTATGTGCATCAAATGCGGCCGGGGTTGTTGGCCGCGACCGCGGGCCATTACTATTACTATTCGAGGCGGGTCGTGGACCGATGCCAGGATATGGGATGAACCCGCCATTCATGGAGTCCCATTTTGATGCGGGTGGGCGGCGGGAATTCTGGGAAGCAGACCGAGGCTCGCCCGAAATCGCAAACGAGTCCGAAAAGGCTGGCGAGGCTATAGGAGAAGGTATCGCAAAAGCACTTGCTGCAGTGTTGACGGGCGAAGGGTATCGATGCGGGCGGCTTCGGCTACCGTCTTGCGAATTCATATGTAACGGTGGGCCTTGGAATAACTCATCGTCGAAATCATAGCCGCCGCGGTTATAATTTTGCATCGCCGTTGGAGTCATTGCGATCCACCTGGTCCCTGGAACCCAGCGTCGAACGGCTGGGCCCGGCGGATTCTATACTAAGGCCAAGCAAAGGATTCTATAGTTTCGCAGCAAGTTCAATCCTAGATGCCAAAGTAACAGAGTCCGTAGTTGTAGTCGGTGAGGTCGAGGAGAAAGAGTGGAAGCCCAGTGCCATTGCTCGAATAAATCGGACGTCAGAAGAGAAGTAGCGATCGATAGGAGGTCAAGGCCACGGGGAGCTGAGTGTCAAAACCACTGCCGGGGCAGTTCGAAAGTTTGGAGTTCGCAAAAGGACGGTGAGTTCGGTTTGGTTGTTCGATGTCGTCGGCGGTAGAGCAGGGGTGAGGAAGGCCAGCCGGTGAGCGGCAAAAGGAGTGACTCGCTAACGTCGCGGGATACAGTTGCGGTTTTCAAAGGATATCGATGATGGTGTCGAAGGAGTGAGGGTCGACATAAGAAAGCACGTATTCGTCAGGCGATAAGAGAGGGCCCGGTTCATGCATGTGCGGGTATCGGCCTGCATATATGTTCCGCCAAATCAAACCCAATCAAATCAAGCGGTTCTCGAATCAGTCGTCGATGGTGCCTTGCATCGCTGCCTCGAGGGATGGAAAAAGAGTCGCAGACGCAGAAAGCGACAGTGAGGGACACCGAAACGAAATATCGGCGGCGGACAGCTATGCGCAGCTACCTGCAGCGTAGGATCGGAACGAATAGAAAAAAAAGAAGCGAGTGCTGAGATGCAGTGCTGTGCGGCGCAGTGCAGCGCAGCGCAGAGCAGGGGATGTAGGTATGATGATGGGGGGACGCAGGAAAAATCACACGAGACTCAACTCATACGCGCCGAGGACGAACGACCTGCGATGAGCGGGCGAATGATGGCCTGTGGGAGAGCAAACGCCGTGTGTGGCGGACGGCAGGCGCAGGAAAAGCCGACAGACAGCAGGAGCCCGACGGACCAGCCAGAGCCAACTAATTCCACCCACACTAATCAAACAGGTGGGAAGGCGCCTGAAGGGGGAAGGGGGACACGCTCGGAAGAGGGCCCGCCTTCCTTTTTCCCTTAGCTCTCTGTTCGTTCCTTGGCTATTTGCCGCTTTCCTGGGTCCTAACGTAGTGAATTCAGGTACCTGAACCCTCTTTTTTTCACTCTTGCTCAGCTCGCTCCTTCCCTTCCTGCTCAATAGCTATTTGTCTCTATAAGCTACGTTCTACCTAAGATATTTCTAAGTCGGGGTGCCGAGCCTAGGCTCAATTGCTGTAATGCGCAATAATACCAAATAGGAGAGTCATAGCACCCTCATCAACGAGTTTAATCAAAATGGCCCAGACAGGTCCAGGCGCGAAGGTACCTGTGTGTGCAATTAGTGCCTGATGCCAGGTCCAGCGCCAGCGGCAAGGTGCCTGCCAGGTACCAAGCCCTGGGTGCTGCTAGTTGGTGGGTGGTAGCTCCACGGCAAGAGCCAGGCACCTACCTCCTGGTTGGGCGAGCTTCGACGAAAAGGGGCAGAGAAGCACACCTCGCCTTTGCTCTAGGTGCAAGGGGCTTCCAGCTGCTGGGGTTGAGAAAAAGCAAGATGAAGGCGCAAGGAAAAGTGACCCCGGAGCGTGATCTGTTTAGGCACTGTTTGCGTTTATGAGTCCTGCTCAATTCTTGAATTTTCAGAGGGGCAGGCGATGCAACAGCAGCTAAGATGGCCGGGGGCTGCCTAGTTGAGAGGGAAGTGTCGCCCAGGCGGATGGCCCGTGAACTAGCTCAACGCGCTTAGGGACCGCCCTAACCTAGATTTTCCCAACTGCCCGGGCCTCACTAAGCAACTTCTTAGCAGGTTGTCGGCATGGAGCAACCTGCTCGCCATGCCAGTCGGCGCCCCTCTTACACCGCAAGCCTGCACGTTCTAAGAACCGTCATCTTGTTCTAGCGACGTGCTTCAACAGTTTGGCCGGTCTTACTGCCTGTGCGTGCATAGGATGCAGTTTGAGGTACGTGCATCTCATCGAGTGCGGCGTATGACGATCTCTTGCTAAACTAAGCTACAGTTGATGTAATAATAACAACCCAGGTCGTCCAACCAGGCTCGGTGTGTTTCCCAGCCTTCCAGCTCCGTCTTCCCCAGAGCCGTGGAACAGCTTATGGGTGAACATCACTGCCCCATTGGTGGACACTATGTCGCAGACCGGAGGTTATGGTCACCGGCTGCTGCCAGAGCCACATGCCGCTATGCAATGACACCCAACGGCCTTCTCGCATCAACCAGTGACGTTGTTCAGCCCGCTCTAGGCGAGTTTCACCAATGCACGGCCGTCCGTGTGTGAGTCGTCGTATCTGCCGCCCTGTCTATCCGTCGTCATTGTCTGCCCGCCAAGCACAGCTGGGTGGATAATGGTGGGTATTGATCATTCTGGCGGCTGCTTATTCATCTCCTCTCATCTCATTGCTTGTTTGTTTGCAAAGTCAATATGGCTGCAAGTAGGGAGGCATGTAAGTGCGCATTTCTGCTCCACTTAGCTGGCCTCTGTCCATGACCTCAGCTCCATTCATGACACGACGCAGGCCTCGGTTTTTAACCAACATGCCGTCCCAGGGCAGAGGCGGCACAAGCTTCCTGGATATGCGCGAAATTACCATCAGAGCTGCATTGCCGGAGCCTTGCGGCTGTCTCCGTCACGCTGCGAAGGCCTCGAGCTTTTCTTTTCAGATCAGGGAACTTTCGGTGATCCTCCCGGGGAAGCCAAATCCCTGTCCCTCGTCTCCCCTCACATGGCCGTTAGCCCGTTGCATCCCGCCCCCCGAGGTCCCAAGGGCGGCGCTGCCTGGGAATTTCAGCGGGAAAAAATAAAAATGAGATGAGCTACGGCGCAAGGTCAAGCAACGGTACGTGCATCGCATGGCCATGCCGCACCTTGGCCTGGCTCAAGGCATCGCTGTCGACACGTGTGAGTACCTCTACCTCTTAATATAGGAATTTTCCTATCGATCGCAATGACAAACGATGCACCCGATACATCCGTCATCCGCCACTCCCCTGCTTGAATTTAAGCTGGCTCCATTTGTGTTCACATCAAACCAGCCAAGGATCTTTTCCACGCCGCCAGGACTTCGGGAAGGATAAAAAAAACTTTTGCCTACGCACAGAGTCCAATCATGCTGCGTCGTAGCCCAGCGATCTTTATGAGGAGAAATGAACTCATATCCAGAGAGCCGGAACTTGAAGCCCGGGATGAATCCCCACCAGCATCCTTGCTTTCCGAGTTTTGGATTCCTGACAGAACCAATGCCCGCAGGCATCTACTCAGTTATATTACGTATGTGCGTTGCTTGGCCTATATCATAAAATCCATCGAGCATGCATTGGTTCCAATCGATTGGGGCCATAAGACGGGTTGATCATCCGTGAACCTCACTCTATTCTTACTATATGTGGAAGGTTTTCTCCCCAGGAGGCATTCCTCACACAGGGCCAACTGCTCATTAATAATGCCTGTGGTTCTAGAAATTTTCAGGTGGCTAATTGCAATGTGGCCATCCTTGTCTCAGGACACCACCGACCGGCGCGTATCAGTTGTGTGACCATCTCAGCTCCATCCACGAGCCTTGTTGACACAAACACGCAACCAGCTGCTAGTGTGTGTTTTGTTTTGTTTGGACAGACGCGTCTGATCAAGACTGCCGTTGACGCGCCTCAGAGGATTCAATGACAGGACCGGCTACGTTAGCTTAGTCCGACACTAGCAAAGCTCCAACGTTGGTGGGAATCGTCGAGGTGTCCAGAGACAGAAGGGAAGCCCGACTCATGGAGGGCAGCCGAGACCACCACCAAGCCGTGCACAGTCAGCGCTGATTTGTGCGGGACTAGGAAATGAAATTGCAGTTCAGGTAGGCCGGCCCAAATGCTCGTCGTGTCCGCAAATTGAGTTAGCGAGTACGACTAGGGTTGCACTCAGCCTTGCAACCCAGATCCTGTCCGGTCCTTCTCGAAGCTACCTGATCGAATGAAATGCGCCCAGCGTGAAGCGAAGCGATGCTCATTCCTCGGGACCGGTAAGTCATCCGCCTGATCCATGTCGTGCCCCTCGTGCCACGAAGTGAGACCACCCATTCATCATAGACTCCTGGTCGCTCCCTTTGTGCTGCGCTGGTACTTACCTTACCCTACATCCATCCACATGGCTCTCAATTATGCATGACATCCATTTCCGAATAATACTTGCTAGCTCTTAATTGCGATGGAGTCCCTTGTCATTCATTGGAATTATAATTACATATCGCTTCTGGGCGAATCAGAGGTTTGTCTGGCTGTAGTTCGATCGTC